GTAATATACTTAACGTATTTACACAAGATATAATTAGAGCGCAGTTCTAAATAGTTATATGATTGTATTACTTTAGACTAACGATAATTGTATCTAGCGATTGCATTTAACGTGTACATGATTACTGTTGGATAGATATTTTAAAAAACAACACGTACACAAACTAGCTAAATGTAATTTGTCGGGTCACTACTATTGGGATGGTGTGAAATAATTGTATTCACTTATTTTGGAGGGTAAAAGACTAACAAACTTGGCATATTTTTGTTGACTGAGATCTCTTCCTAATGTTCAATTAACAGCATATGAAGCGTCTCAGTCTCCTACGCTTTTGCGCACAAATGGCACACCGCTCATTATCCATCAGATGGCCGCCAAGATGGCTTCATAACTAAACAAATATACGGTTGTGCATCGAAGATATCGATTAACTAGCTAATACAAATTGTCTATTTTATTAATTCTTTACATATTTACATGTTGCATAATAGGACATTTATATTGTCACTCAGAGTGGGTATATAGATCTATCTAACTAGACTTTGAAAATATAAGTGCTTAATATATTTCAAAGATAGAGCTTCCCACATATCGCGCTGCGCAAATGTCCAAAAAAATGTGTTTTTTATGTGTTCAAAACGTCATAGCATCGATGTTTTCAGATACTCTTCTATTATGATTGTGTATCTAGCTTAGCCGTGCCGGCAGAGTCACTAAAGTAGATAGGTGAACAAACCAGATATACCAATATTATACGGTAACAACACATAAATATACACAGACTTGAACCTCGCCCATAAGTCTATCCTCAGGTCCACAGGATCTCTACCCTTACACAGACAAGAGCTGTGCACTATACAAGTCACGATATGATTATCTTTGCACCTCCCACGGACAAACTTCATGCTTGTGTTGACTATCTTAGCTACTACAGTTCAGTAAATCCTGGCGGAATGACTCGGAGGCTCTATAGTTTGTGAGTGTTTGTCCAGTTAACTGGCTCCTCATGTAATTAGGTCCTGTTACTTTTACTTCACCCAACCCTTTCCAGTTACAAGGACCAAGAGAGAAGTTTTCTGGGGAGGGCAATAGCGTCCTGTACTAGCAGGACTCATGCAGTCCAACGATTATTCTACAGTTTCTGTACTAGGGTGCTTTGTAAATAAAAGATTGCATGTCAATTGGAGTTGTGTTGCGACATTCCAATTTCAATGAATTCTTCTCTTATCGTGTAAGAGAGGTTTTTTACATCGTTCGTTCTCTGTCGTAATGACACTATATGCAATGCATTTCTGAAGTACGAGTCGCTTCCCATAAGAATTAACATGCATCGCATCCATACGCATTGAGCACTCACACAGTGGACATTAGAGTCAATCTGTGGAGTTTTTTAACTAAAAATTCCTTAAAGCCTACGATCAGTCTTCACTAAATTCTTGGTTGAAAGTACTTCGGAGTCAATCCAATGCTCCACGGGTATTTTGATAATCCTTAGCCACAGAATGATTAAGTTGTGATCACATGTAAACGCACATGGAATGCTCGAGATAAACAACTTTGTCTATCTACGAAGAACTCAAAGGTATGCCATTATCAGAGTTGTTTATGTTTTAGCACAGAGTATATTTTATTACTAAGAGTCTTGTTTTTCCAGAATGCTCAATTGGGACTATCCATGAGCTCTTGTACATTATATGTTGAAAACTGTTTATAGCTATTTGACAACAACATCTGTAAAATCAACAGTGCGTACAAGGACTATTTGTAATGATGTGGTTCAGCCTTGCATAAATCAGCATGAGCAACATGAAGTAAAAGCCTTGTATCTGCTTCTTCGTGTGTACATGGAGATATGATACTACTTTCTTCTATTGGTGTATTGCTCAGAACATCTGATCTTTTTGTGGTTATGATCTGCTTATTGTTGTCACATGTTAATGTTATCACCTGATCTGCTAAATACCCAAAAATAGCTCTGTTTTGTTTTCATCAACTCGAAGAAAGGCTTCCCAACTTCCAGGAATTCGTGAATCTGACTGGACTCTTCTACGAATACCTTGTCCACGTTTGCCTCTTGTTGTAGCTTTTAGACTATTTGTTATGTATTCATACCCCAAACAATGTCCACTCTAGAAACACTCTGTATCTGACGCTCAACGAACGGTATAAAACACATTCTGTGAGTACTCAAGGAATGTTTGACAGCCATTAGGTTTTAATATATTGATAATGGCTGCACCATCGAAAATCTTTACATCAACATCTGGTATTTCATATTCAGATGGACATACTTGCTCGAGTCAGTTTAACTATTGAGATTTACAACCAAATCTTAAATGTCCGAACTGTGAAATTGAAGGAGGATACATGCTATTCTCATGGAGAAAAACTCATCAAGGTCCCCTTTGCGCACCTGACAAGATACATATAACTTTGAAAAAAGTGAACAAGTGTCTTTTAGTGAAGAAATTTGTTGTTTCTCCTTGCTCTTTTCTTTAATTGCAGGCCTACTAAAAAGCGGGAATTTATTCTGCTTTATAGGATCAGTGACAGGTTTTTGTCTGGTATCAAATCGTTCAGTAATTAAGGTTTCAAACTGTTCTTTGCCTACTCTTTCAATTTGCTTGACGGTGTCCTTCACCTGATCATCAAGTATGTCCCGAGTATCTAATACTAAAAGGTCCTCTGTGTAATCATTAAAGGGATTTCCAAACTCTTCAATGACTGCACACAAGTCTTTTACTTGTTTTCCAAATCTCACTTGCGTGCTTTTGTTCTGTTCATGGTGCTTAACATCTTTATCATCGGTTAGTGAACTGTTCTTACAATTCTGCCCTTGCTCGAATTCCTGGAGAGCTCTTGCAATCTCTGGTCCTGATACCATCCACCGTAATAGCTGGTTTGAGTTTTCAGTAAGGCCAATAGCACCACCATCACCTTTAACTAATTTATTGTTTTGTTCATGAGCTTGGTCAATGGGAATCGAGGAGAAAGCATGATGAGTTTTGCGGATTACAAAGCGCCCATTTTCAAACTGCTCAGCAATATCGGGATGAATGTGATCTAAATTCATCAAATCACGAACATGTACTGATAACCATCGTGCATAGTTTGGATGATCCAGGGCAAAGAACCATGGTAAAAGGTTTGTAACTGTATCTTTGTATAGCTTGAAATTCCCTTCTCGTAATGATCTCACAAACATTAAAATTGACTGTTCTAGTTTTAATGTAATCGACCAAAACAGAAACTGTGGACTTTCATTTTCTCTTTGCGTACGCCAAGCATTAAACTCAACAGCTGTTGTACCTTGGTCTCCAACATGTGACTCAAAAAAGGACTGGTACGCCTGATACATCATAATATACAAGGCACATGCTGTTATCTGATGAGCATGGCGGGATCGGGCAACATGAGACGCTTTAAGGAACGAATCTGCTGTACCTGCAGAAGCAATATTGGCTTGCACAAGCGCATGTGTCCAGCAACTATCCTGTTACCAATCTCCTATCGTTTTCAAAGCAGCAATCTCAATTTGAAGACCTCCAAGCAAGATTACAAACTTGGCTTCATCATATATATCAGGCCAGTCCCACTGTATTTGTTTAGCTAAAGCATAAAGTGGCTGATCGCATGTCATTACTGGGATTTGTCCAGGGTTAAGGTGATGTACAATACCTGCTATGATACTCATAGAATGACGTATCATGGACACAGACTTGGCTTCATCATTGAATAGTGGTAATAACGCACCAATGTCAACAGGAGAATCATACTCTTTATGAGTGGCCACATTGGCATGAAATGCTGACCATGATATCGCTGTATCTTGTGATTCTTCTGACTCAACCTCATTCCTCACATGTTCCAACCACCTAAAATGGACAACAAAGTTAAACATAAGATACCTTGATTAACTTCATGACTCTTTCAGATTGAAAATATTGTCTACCTATGACACAATTATGTACAAATTCAATTATGAATACCAAACATGAAGTGTTTTTAATGTAACAGAGCTTACTTAACCAAACAAGTCTAAAAGTATGTTATTACTCTATGATGACCATGTCATTTAATGCACTACAAACTTAAACTAGAATTCTTGTTAATCAAAAAAAAATTATACCTTTTTTCGGTTTGAGGCGTTGGTAGAATTTGTTGACCATCACTTGCAAAAGGTCTGTTTGCCTCCGGAATTCTAGATTTTCTCTGGATAGCAACAGGCGGTATGTTAGCATAAGAATCTGGAAGTTGTTTTAATCTAGTTTGTTGGTCACCTTTGTTGATTACATTGACATTGCAGGTTTCTCCATGACAATCTCTTGTCGGATGCTGGAAAATAGAATGAACCATGAGCTGTAGTGGAACTGGGATTGTGGTCAATGTTATCTACAGCAGCCATGGTAAATATATTTCTGCCAAGAACAGAAGGACATACAATATTCTCCTGCTCAAACTGATCACAGACACTATTGCCCATCTTGGTTGAAAGTTCCAGCACTCTGTTATAGGAAATTGAAATTCCAAGATTATTGAGTTTATCAATGATACCACGTTTTCTAGTCTCGGCATGGATCATCAATCCAATATATATTGGCAATGCAGGTTCCCTAGCTATTGTGTGATATGTGGACACTGACTGATTCCTGCGACGACTGGTTGAATTAAATACAATAAGTTGTGCTATACTAAGTACATTCTGGGCATTAGAAATTTCATTTTCTTGATCGACGATATTTGGACCTCTAAGTATCATTTCAATTAGAGCTTTTAATGATTTTGGGATTGAATCTTGTTGACATTTTTCAGAAAATGTCCCATTAAAGTCATATGAGTCACTTTGATTGAAAATGTCTCTTCTTATCATGGATGCTACCTTGCTAAGAGCAATTGCTTCATCATCATATACCTTCTCAGATGCCTGTTTTATTACCTTGCCAATGTCTTCATTATGTACTAACAACACATCTCTGCCCTGTTTATGAGACTCAAATGTCTGGAATGTGTTCCATTATGCGCTCCTTTAATCTAGTTGTATTAACACGGCTGGTAGTATCTACACCTAAATTGGCTAAACGTGAAGAATACATCTTGGCAAGATCTGCAAGCTTATGTATGGTTATTGAATCACTGGACTTACTCTCTTCTATATACGACACTAGTTCTGCAAGAGCAATGCCATGTATTTGTTGACAAGATTTATTTGAATCATTTTCTGCTTGCAGCTTCCTGGACCTATTGTAAAGGGTTACCAAACAATTAGAATGATACATGGCTTCTTGTGATATGAGGTCTCCCGTACTAAGTTTTGCTAAAAGAACTGTATCTTGTAACTCGAAAGCACATTGTCTAACCTTTGTGTCCATTTAAATTGTGGAAGCTTGATGAAGATCTCCAGATTCTGTATTACAAAAGAAACATTTTTTACAATCAGCCACTGTAGCTGCACCACAACTCTTACGAGTTATTTTGTTTGGTGTACTGCTGTCAGTTTCGACCTCAACTTTTAACTTGTGCTTATGTAGCCTTGTAAGTTTTAGTTTGCTAAATTTGTTACGACAATTCTTGTGCCATTTAGCTTCATTTTTTAAGAGAAATTCAACTACATCTTTCTGTTCCCCTAATAATGTTGAATTAATCGGTACTGGAAAATATCCAACTTCATGATAACTAGATATATCACTTAGCAGTGTCTCATAGCCTGCACCTTTAGAAACATCTTTGCGTTTAATCAATGCGGGACACTGAAGCGCTTCCCTTGAATGTGTTTGACAGAGAATACAATTTAACCAATCTATTGGACAGTGTACTAGTTTAGACTTTGGTGATGTTTGTGGCACTTTAGGTGTGACGTCATATAACCTTGAACTTGAAAAAAGCACTGGGTTCTTTGTAACATTTCCCACATCTCTCTGGAAGCTTAGATTCTTACCTGAAAATATATTAATTATAGATAACATATTCAATATGTCTGTCAAATGAAGTATTTTTTCTGCTTTTGTAAATTTATGTTATCAAAAATTTCTAAAAAAATGCTTATTACATTACTTTTTGTTCTAGACTAGACAGACCTGGACCAGACTAGACTGGACTTGAATAGATAGATCGACAGGTTTGTTGGTAGAAAGGTAGGTAGGTAGGTTCACAGATTCATAGATTGATGCATAGATACAAACATAGATATATACATAGACAGATACATACATAGAAACATACATAGATAAATACATAGATAGATGGATAATAGCTAGACATAAAGATAGAAAGATACAAAGATACGTAGATACATACATAGATAGATGGATAATAGCTAGACATAAAGATAGAAAGATACAAAGATACGTAGATACATACATAGATAGAGGGATAATAGATAGATAAATGTTTAGGTTCATAGATAGATACATGCATATAGATACAAATATAGATACATACATTGATTCATTCATAGACATACATAGATACATACATGGACATACATAGATACTTAGATACATACATAGATAGAGGGATAATAGATAGACAGATACATGTATAGGTTCATAGATAGATACATGCATATAGATACAAAGATAGATACATACATTGATTCATTCATTCATAGACATACATAGATACATAAATAGACATACATAGATAATTAGATACATGTACATAGATACAAAGATAGATACATACATTGATTCATTCAAAGACATACATAGATAAATACATAGACATACATAGATACATGTATATAGATACAAAGATAGATACATACATAGATACATAAATAGACATACACAGACACATACATAGATAGAGGGATAATAGATAGACAGATACATAGAAACATAGAACCTGAAGCTTACCATCAAGTGATTCCATGTTAATCATACTATGCCTAAATACATGAATGTTCTGACGTTACATGGTGTGGCTGTTTCAATTTATATAGAGCTGCTATACTGGATCTTCCTAAAAAGATAAATAAACGCTTTTATTTATGTGTCATTGTTGATGGAACATTACTTTATAAATTGATTTTTTTTGTTAAACATTGAAAAATATAATCTAATTAAACTGCAATGGTACCAACATATGATAATCTTGTATTATAGAAAGCATTGCGGGTATTTATTTCCTTAGTTAGCCAAATTCCTATTAAAGTAACACGGTTCTGATTCAAAATAAGAAAAAAGGATATTAATTGTAATAGTTGTACAAAACAAGCTGTTGATTAACATTAATTCATCAATTTATCCGAACACTATTATATATCCGAAGACTATGACAGTTTTTAAAACTTTTGAGCATGACTCTTATAAGACATATCTTATGTTAAATATAATTTTAAAAGCAAGGCTACAACATCAAAGAAAGTAATCCACTTACCTAATTTTTCAGCAAATATTGTAAAATCTTGAAAACTTTTCACACAACAGTTGAAAAAAAACCTGCACAAGAAGTTTTCTTCTGTTACACACAAATGGAGAATATCAAACAAAGGGAAGTAACTATGCTAAATTCTTTATTTACTTAATCATAAAAAAATAAATCAAAACATTCTGGAAATTATCAAATATAAGTATAACGAGCAATTTTGCACCGTACGTATGTAATGCACATTTTTGAAATATTTTGAAAACCTAAAGAAATGTCTGCGTGCCAATTTCCGAGATTGTCCTATGAGCTTTCTTTGGATTTGAGCTTATACGTAGCACATATCAGGCATGCAACTCGTCAGTCAGACATGTACAGTACTGTGTTAAGTGTATAAACAAATAAAGAGTATTATTGTATTTCAAAAAGACAACAACTTGTGTAAATCTATGATTAAAAGGTAAAAATATGTGATTTTTAAGGATTTTTACCATATTTTTTTCACCTTTTTACCTTAACAAGAACAAAATTGACAAAATATTTCAATAACATATTTATTTTTTATCTAAATTTCAATTTCAACACAATAGATAATAAAATATTGTAATATTCCATTTGTATTATCAAGTAATCACCACAAATAGTCAACAAAAGGGTATTTTCTAAATTTTCGGACATATTGGCAGCCATCTTGAAAAATGGCGGCCATTTTGAATTTTTCAAATTGGGTCCATAGCCTATATAACCTTATATACTTTGAACTACCATAGTGCAAAGTTTCATGCTTTTATCACAAGGTGAACAATTTCACTGTTTTCAAGCACCATATGATCCCACTAATGTGAGTTGAGTTAAATTATTCTAAATATACAATAAAATGGGTGGTGACTTTACTTATCAACATTGAAATGAGGTTTCGGTTCGATTTGGCTTGTTCATGGCTGGCAGTGGAAAAACATGTAAACTACTTTCCACACACATTGGCACCGTCTTAGGGAGAGATACTTAATAATGATAATTAAAGAAGGTTTTTCAAATGGCTTTCGCAACTTGCTGGAAAAAGGACGGATTTTTCAAAATATCGATATAATGATCAAGCGATAAAATAGAATAGATAATTAAAGAAAGAAATAAATATTCTGTTTGTTGAATACAAACACATAAAAGCCAGAAATTCTGGGACATAAACCGTGTTATAGATTGCTCATTTTCACAAATTGTGAGAATGTTTTGTGCGAAACGTCACCTTCTACCAATAAGATACTCTCTTGAGCGTCGGTCAAATGTTTCCCTGCCAAAAAGGTATTGTATTTTATTAGCTGCTAAGGGAGCGTTAGTAAGTTTTAAAGTCGTTATAAATGTTTGCTCAATTGAAGCTATATAATTATATTCTGTGAATTCAGAAGTTAACTACCTGAATTAATTCACGTAGGTAGTATAGTAAATAAATTAACATTACACCTGCTTCCTGTGCTTTCTCACATCTTTGTTGATTTACATCCGATATCATCACCTTTACAACATAACATTTGAAACTTGCCAAGTGCAATTTTGATTGACAGTTAACCTGTAACAACACGGAAATTTGAAAGAGATATAATGATTTGTATATAGGATAAAATGGGAAAGTAAATAATATTTACAAATAGCATCTATATAATTACATATATTAATCCTGGAATTCACATTATCAATTGAGCATGAACAGAAATGATATCCGTCGAATCTCGATAAAGGTATGTCTTAGTGAAGAAAAATGGCATGTGGTAGTTTTCACTCCGGATCACGGCAGTAAGCCACATTTCAGCCACCGCATTGTTCCTGGGAAGGCTGTCAAGCAGTTTACCAGTACTAGTTGCCTTCACTTTCGCAAAGAACTGATTATTTCTGTACCTGCAAGAGCAGAAGTACAGTGCGAATGACCGTAGAAAGGATTTCATGATCAAACACAACGAAAGTGACCTGCTTAGTCCGGGAATCGAACCCGGGTCTCCCGATTCTCAGTTAAACGTTCTACCTACTGAGCTAACCGGACAGCTTTGAAATATGACATGATGTAGTAGAGCAATATTTGAGCCGCGTCACGACAAAACCAACATAGTGCATTTGCGACCAGCATGGATCCAGACCAGCATGCGCATCTGCGCAATCTTATCGGGATCCATGCTGTTCGCTATCAGTTTCTCTACTTGTAATAGAGTTAGTAAGCGAACAGCATGGATCCTGATCAGACTGCGTGGATGCGCAGGCTGGTCTGGATCCATGCTGGTCGCAAACCCATTATGTTGATTTTGTCATGACGCGGCTCATATATATTTCGATTTTGTATACAACATTGTTTGTTGTTGAATTTTAATATACCGTTTTCATTTCAATATATGACATTGTATTTCTCATATGTAATGGCCATTCAACTACACAAAATATGCTTCAAACAAAACTTTGACTGTAAACACAAGTTTAATGCATGACCTCTTCTAAAGGTTTGAAATTGAATTGCAAATTTAAATGTTGTAATAGATATAAGGTAACACAGAGAATTCCGCATAAGTTCATATTATGTGAGTGGTCAAAACCTAAGATTGTATCTTGTTCTAGTTACCAAAATATGTGCATTAAGTCCATATAATTCTATAAACAATGAGTTACACAATTTCACAGCGATTAAACATATAAAAAATTGTACTGGTATTATAAGATATTTATTTGCACTATTGGCTTCTTGTCAAGTTTCATATATTGTCATTTTTTTTTCACAAAAATAAAACGGACACACGCCGCTATTCATTGAAGTGTCACATTAAATGTTCCATGATAACCGCCGTATGAACACATCTGCGGATGCTCCTATATTTAAAATTATACCATTTCATTTTAAATCTTGAATTCTACTTAGGACGGTACAAGGGGCGTGGACGGTAGCTTGCATTTTAATAACCATCCATGAACAGGCTCAATCAAGCCGAGCCTACATTGTACAACATTTTCAATTTTACCGTTTTTGAACGTTCTCTTTTTCTCTATTTTATTACAAGTATATGTTTTCTCATTAATTGGTAAACAAAAACTATTGCTTGAAAGTTTATGTCTAACATTGTGACCAAGCAGCTTTGGGATTTTTCAAAAGCTAACAAACTTTTGTCGTTCAGTGGGGAAAGGCCAATTACGGAAATCAAAAGAAAATAATTATTATCATTTTATGACTTATTGAGAACAAATATAATTTCCAGTGCAACATATGTTTTTCTATTTGCAATCTGTCCTAAAATGGACCCTGCTACACCATATCTAAGATCTTTGAAAATAAAAACTAGAACCAAATGCTTAGCAGACTAGAAATTATATTGCGATAAAATGGTTGCTTGTTTGACTTTGTTGTCTAAATTTGCTTAATCGGGAATATTCCTGAAAAAGTAATAAGATATTATTCGAATAACTGCTTCACATTATTAATTACACGCCCTCAGCTATAGAATGTTTATAATTATATTCAATTTTCTGTTAATAATTTATATTAAAGATTTTCAGGGATACAAAATTTTATATGCATATAAAATTAATCAATGCTTAAATCACAACATGTATTCAGTTAAAGAATTTTCTGGCATTGATACTTTTTCAAATTACATAACACTTAATATGAAGACATAGGGTACGTTGAGACCATATTCCATCACAACATTTAAGTTGAATAACATGGTCATTTATAAACTGTACATTTAATTATCCGCTGTACTTTTAGGTTTTTTATAGATTGTTCTCTTGACCACGTTAATATCAGATATGAGCAATTATATAGGAAGTACTGAATACTTTTCAAATATGAAAAAAAATTCTGTAGGAGACATTTGTTTTTAATTAATCTGTCATCATGAAATTTGCGAGCTAATTTGCTGTACGTTATTGCATATTTCTAAATTTGGTTGTTCATAGTAAGACAGGTCGTCAATATCATCGGTCATTGAAATATTCTATCAAGCTATGTTAGTTGTAATGTCAAGTCTATCACCAGACGACAAAACAAACTTGTATCATAGTTTGGGGACATTTCTGTTGAAAATGTGTCCGAGTTAAATCGTATACATATACATGCACAGTGCATGCCCATTGATTGGCTCATTTTTGCTGGGGTTTACTTATTGTGCCGGAAGAGAAAGAGAAAGCGACAGAAATGTCATATTCAGATGCTCGTTCATTGGTTACTTTTTCCCGGGGTTTCATATTGTGACAACAGGGACCGTGTTTTTTTGTTTGACTATGATACAAAAGAGAAAGAACATCAAAACACTTGGCAATCTGATTGATACTCGGGGGCTAAGCCCCCTCGTACAAACCAGATAGCCTCGTGTTTCGAAGCATTTTAACGTAATTAGGTTGCATGTGTTTCAATAAGGAAATCAAAAAGGTTTAAAGAGGCAATATAGAAAATAAAGATAGTTGTTATTTTTTCTGAGATTTTAACAATTGGAACACCTTACGATTACTCATAATAATCTCGGACTTAATACGGATTGAATTAGTAGTAATACCACGTGGTCCTACATGTAAAGAAAACAGATGGTGTAATCTTTGTATGTGTATACTCGTTTTTGACATCTAAGTGAAAATAAAGGTTCTTTTTTGGTTAAATCATGATTAAAATTATGCCTGACAATCATAGTAAATTTAAAAACTCCCCGCTGATGTACATTTATAATCAAATCCGGGAACACCTTTGTATATTCGGTTTCTAAAACAATAATACTAACTCAAGTATATTAGTTATGTACTGTTCATCTATATCTTTGAATTAAGTTTTTAAACATATTTTATTTCTCAGAATATATATACATGTTACAACGTGTCTTATGAAATTCTTCTCCTTAAGGCCTCAACAGACGATAGGATTTTGTTGTACAACACTAATTAGAGATTAGATGTACAATTTTCAAAGCAATACAACAGTTGCATTCAAACCGTAATTCTGCATTGTAGGAATCATTTGAGGTTTCTCTGAAAATAAAGTTCCCTACCACGTGATCCCTTACATACTTCACTTTGGTAGTTTAGCGCGGAGGAAGGTTGTCTAGTACTGGTGTAACTCTCCAGGAACGATGGTTAGGAAACTACCCGCCTATATGACTGAAATACTGTTGAAAAAGGCGTAAAATGAAACAAACAAACAAAACTCAATAAATTATTTTTTCTCTCCATGAGTAATGTTTGAAACATCTCCATTTAAAAAATAATTCTTTTTTTAATATTAAAGTATTAGCAATGCACACAACTCGGAACATAAGTAATTCAGACAATCAATTTCAATTTTTTTTGTTAACATTCTTACCTTTAAAAAACATAGTGCATACTATTGGAATACATTTCGAGAATATATCCAGTTTTGTAGCAATATAATGTGTGTTCAGAGAAGAATGTTTTAGCTAGGTATTAACCCATTACTTCATGAGCATTTTGTGAAAAATGGCTGTTTTCATTGAAAAGTCTCCCGTTACAACTTCAAATTGCTATAATACTATAAAAACTGCTTCATCACTAATCAAACTTGGCACAAATGTTGACTGGACCATTGTCCTTGCAACAACATGCTCAGGCTTAAATTTTCTGTTACCATGACAACGAGGGGACATCTCAAAATTGCCAAAAATCACTATTTTGCGTTGATTTTTTTCCATCAAAATTGATTTCAAAGTGCTGCAACTTCTCAATGGATTGAGATAGAGTCAAATGCTTTTCAGCGTTGGTTACACGTTACCTTATGATCAATCTGGGGTCATTTACAGCCTCTCACAAGTCCAAAATTTTCTTGGCGATGAGGGGGACACCGCCCCCCTTCAAACCCCCCAAAACAGAAGGGGGCACATCCCCCTTCTGGCAACCCCCTGATGTATTTTTTGGTTGGGGGGCCGCGCCGAAAAAGAGGTCACTTTTTTTAACAACATTTCTCAAACAAAAACAAGTGTTTTGGGCCTAAATAAGGCATTTTTTCATCATTTGAGACAACAAAAAGGGGGGGGGGGTGAAAAAGGCGTTAAAAGGCGTGTATATGAAGTAATGGGTTAACAGAAAATGATGAAAATACTTGAAATTACCCTAAATTGCGTTTTTTCATGTTTAAACATGGCCTGTCATATAAATTTGAAGAAAAAGTGTTGTTTTGTAGATTTTTATATTTTTTTCATTAACCCATTACTTCATGAGCATTTTGTGAAAAATGGCTGTTTTCATTGAAAAGTCTCACGTTACAAGTTCAAATTGCTATAATACTATAAAAACTGCTTCATCACTAATCAAACTTGGCACAAATGTTGACTGGACCATTGTCCTTGCAACAACATGCTCAGGCTTAAATTTTCTGTTACCATGGCAACGAGGGGACATCTCAAAATTGCCAAAAATCACTATTTTGCGTTGATTTTTTCCATCAAAATTGATTTCAAAGTGCTGCAACTTCTCAATGGATTGAGATAGAGTCAAATGCTTTTCAGCGTTGGTTACACGTTACCTTATGATCAATCTGGGGTCATTTACAGCCTCTCACAAGTCCAAAATTTTCTTGGCGATGAGGGGGACACCGCCCCCCTTCAAACCCCCCAAAACAGAAGGGGGCACATCCCCCTTCTGGCAACCCCCTGATGTATCTTTTGGTTGGGGGGCCGCGCCGAAAAAGAGGTCACTTTTTTTAACAACATTTCTCAAACAAAAACAAGTGTTTTGGGCCTAAATAAGGCATTTTTTCATCATTTGAGACAACAAAAAGGGGGGGGGGTGAAAAAGGCGTTAAAAGGCGTGTATATGAAGTAATGGGTTAAATGATGTTTGTTTGATACCCATATCTGTATATAATGAAATTTGCAAAACATAATGTCTACTTTGATGTTGGTTTCTTGTTAAGTAAGGCTTTAACTTGTTATCAATCATATATATGTTGTACTTTGAAGGAGTATCGCTGTTTCTCTAGAAAATCTCAACTGCTGCTCTCTTTTGAATCAGAATTATTTTTCAAATATAAAATCTTAACATACATCCCGTTATTAATATCTTCCGCTACAGATTTCCCAATCTGAAAATGACAAACATACATAGAATTTTCACTGTTTTTACTTTCCGAAGACTTTGTTACGTCAGGTAATGGTAAGTCACTCCTTTCTCCAATAGTTTGCATCAAATCCGGGAGGGTTTCTTCAATTTTACATCTGTATTTGTTTTCAACGATACCCTTTTTATCACTATTAATATTATCCTTATTGAGTGACTCCTGGTTATTTTCTTGGGATGATTTCTTTCTAATTGTGTTTAAAAATTTTGCTTTAATTTTCTTGGCACTTTTAGCAATATGTCTACAAGTTGATCTCCTGAAAAGTATATATAACCATGGGTCAAGTGTCTGATTTAGACTCGCCAACCTGACAGCGGCAAGGTCAAATAAAACGTTATCTTCCCCTGAAACTTGTGTGTCTATTATTCGAATCTGAAAAGAAATATATTGGAACATTAATAAATTGATGAAGAATAATGATAATTTATGCATTTCATAAATTTCATTTCAAGTTCTATGTACTTATTCCCACATTTCTAAAGGGTAAACAGAAGATATCTTATGAAATATTTTCAAACAATTGATCAACAGTTAAATAATAACATAGAATGTTTCTATTGTTTAACACAATGTCATATGACTTTTGTAAGTTATCAGAATAAAATGTTCCTCCATTTGCTTATACGATAATTTACTACCATATTTATTTCCTACAAACTGTTTGGAAGTATACTTTTTTTAAATTTAAAGTTAACAATAATTTTTGCAGCATATATAGCTAAATTTATTCACTTTAAATATTTGTTGAACAAATTCGGGGAATTATTAAATTAAAAATAATTCACATATATTGATTTAAAGGTTGCTCTTCAGATATTCATTCATTTTAATAAATGTTAAATATATATATAACGCTCACATAAGTATTTATCTTATTAATTTAAATTCAGGATATCTTACATTTTTAAACTATTCTTATATCATAACTGAACACCTGCCTGGTATTACGCTGGAGTATGTAAAGTACTCAGTAAGATTGAACTAGAAGGTGCAAATGAAACATGCAGTATAAAAGCATGTAAATAATAATTCGTGCCAAAGGCATGCTAGGTGTTAACTCTTTTCCACCTGTTTGTTACACGAACAGATATATTTAATAAACGAACATCATAAAGAAACAATACATTCCAAATTTACTGTACAGTTCTTAATGCAAAAATATATCACATAGTTTCAGATGATAGAGTTTTATATGAATTTAAGCATTCTTAAAAAGAAAAATGAATAACAGGCATACTCGTATATTATAGTGATCACAAGTTTTATGTAAATGTGAAAGAGTCATAAATTAGAAAAAATATAATAGAAACCCTATAAAACGTCCTAAACGCCAAAACAATGATGATTTACCCCACCCCTTTCATTCACAAGGGCTTAAGCAAAATAGATCAGTGAAACATGATAATCGTGAAATCCAGCTGAACATGTGGTCATTGAATCTTTAATGTGACATGTTCATGCCATTCCTTTAAAAGTTGAGTAGGGTTCTAATTCATGTCGCTTAAACGAGAAAACATTAAGCGAATAATAAGTACTGAACAAAACCAAATTAAACCTACTAAAAACTATCTTTATGGTGTAAAATGCATTACAATAGGCTATGTTATTTGATACTTACCATCAGTGGTGCCCAGCACGTTGTGAAAACAAGCGTCAAAGCCAACAGCAAGACAATCATCGAAGAATCTGTGTCATTCGTTTTTACTTGTTGGTTTCTAATGGTTACAAGTGAATCTTGTTCCGGTCTGTTATGACCAATCGTGTACACACATTCACTAGAACGTCTTACCTTTGTTTTTAGAATTCTTACAACGGCATAAGTATTGCAAATAATTATAAGAAAAATTAATGTCAAGGTTGTACACGCATAGATATAGTTATACACCTTCGACACCATATCATCAGAATGAAAGTCTAGGTAGCACCATGTTCCTGGATATTGTTTCTCATACCTCCCGAAGCCAAATAAAGGTAAAAGTCCGAATAGTATTGTTCCGAGCCAAACTAGAAGAAGACAGCCTCTTGCAGTGCCTGTACGACAACGGCTTGAGTAAAAGAATACACATTTCAAAGCCAGAAATCTTTCAACTGCCATAGCACAAATTATAAGTGGTGTCGCAAGTCCAAATGTTGCCATTGTAAAGCCATGGAAAAGGCAATGAGTGCTTCCACCTAACCATTCCCTTTGATTAGCATAAGCTATAATTACAGAAGGTGATGTAATCAATATTCCAAGGAGATCAGTCCACACCAAACCTTTTATCAAACTGTAAAATTTTGTTGTCCTTACATCAGTTCTAGTCTTGTAGAGGCTTATCAGAGCTAATATGTTTCCAATAACACCTGTTAAAGACATCAACAAAGGAGAGACAATAGTGGCCCCAGCAGCATTTGTCACGTGATCAGCGTCGGCAGAAATATTTGTTGTAAAGTTGAACATTTTCCTTGCACTTAGATGACCCTGAAATAATCAGATGATAACCTGACCAAAAAAAACAAGATGACATCAAATTTAATTAAATTGACGTTGTTTTTTTTCTTAAACCGTTTATCTCAACATATTGATATCTCGACTTTCTTAACGGTCCCGGTGATATCGTAATTACGAGAGTCGACTGTATATTTAAAAAAAGTTTAATGTTAATTTGCAGAAAAAAGTTTTCACTCTTAAAAAAATGTCTTGGAAAGTATTATATCTCATTAACTAAAAATTAATAAAACGAATAGTGAAAATATTAGATTTTAATAGAGAATAATGTATTGAAAAATAATCAAAATCTTGATGTTTATAGTATTCAAATAATATAACTGATTACCGAGAATTAAGAATTAACTTATCCAAAACATTTTATTATACGATCATTAATCGCATGCTTTCCTTTTAACGTTTTGTTGTGAGTATTTGAATGTATTAAGTAATTCCGGATGTGTTATTCCCTTCAATACTAGTAGTTTCTGAAACAATAGTCTTGCATTATTATAAAATCCTCTATGTTATCTGATTATAACATTCCTGTAATAGACTCAATATTCGATAAAGCTCATTAACTGCTTATATCCTCTAACTGTAGCAATACGTAATGACGACATTAACCGGTCAAGCAATAAAAGACCAACCTGACATAGAGCAATTAACCTCTTCTTTTATTTTCCATTCCACAATGAAGTATTGAATTCTATATGTCCTTTACTTGTGAGCGCAAATCAAATAACACGGACATGTAATGAATTATTTATGTGAATTTCCAGTCGCTGTTAACAATTAAAATTACTGAAGTGCATCTGTATTATTTGCGGTTGTATTTCAGAAGCCAAATTCAAAGATCTAGTTCTGAAAATTGAATACCGGTTAATCGATAATTTGGTTACTTTGTGTGATTTTTCTTTCTTTTTCTTTTTCTCCTTTTCTAAACCTGTAATAACCTAATTGTAAATGAATAAGCCAAGTTTTGATTTTCAGTAATTATTAGATTGCTTTAGTTGTTTGCACGAAATGTGTAATATTCCTATGTATTGATTAATTCATATCGATAAAAAAAAGTTTTATCAATAGAGACCTTTTAAGATACAGATGGTCTAAAAAGTTTTAAATACAGCAAAGCAAACTCATTATTTATTGTTAAGTTCAAATTATTAACGTAATGATACTCGTATGTAAACAACTCGCTTATCTTATGTACACAATGGATTTAACAAAAACAAGATGAATCATGCTTTTATAAATCATTTTATTTCAAAATTTATTAATTTGAATATATGATAAATTGATAATCTAAACGTTTTTAGCGTTTTGTCGAATTACCAAAATATGGTTATTAGTGTTTATATTTAAATTATATTATACCTGTAATTATAATCCATTCATAATATTCAAGTACAGAGTATCCGACAGTCCTACAGCATGTTTCAATTCTTTCAGTTACTGAATTACGTTCCTGTTTGGAAGCACAAGCATATTACATGTGGGACGTACATATTTTCCAATAGTTTGGTAAATTGTGATAAACTTCAACTGTAACAGTTTTTTCTTACAAATAGACCTTATCAAATTAATTAAAAACTCCCATTCGGAACATCGGTGAACTTTTATGTGTACATTTCAATGATCGTTTTGTGTTTTTCATTTTCTAAACCGCACAGACTTGAATAATAGCATTAAAACAAGATGTTTTTTACAAAGAAAACAAAAAATATATACAGGCTTTAAGCTTTAGGACAATAAAAGGCAGCAATTGAGATCTTCATTAAGTTTTTGTGATACTGAAAAGTTACAAAGGATAAACCTGTACGAGGTTTTGCATTATTTTGCATTATTGATTAAATCAAAATAAAAGTTCGTCATTTTCATACGTTTGATATTTAGAAACAAAGTTATTTATATGATATTTACGGTTTCCTTCCATGAATGGACTATTTAAATGAAAATAGATCAAATTGACAAATGATAAACACATGTTGCCATCCTTTTGAACTTATGAATTCTTGCAATCGTTCTCTTGTTCAAATCCAATAATTCATTTATTTCTCTCAGTCCAATACATTTCTTTCTTCTATATATAAGACATAATACAAAAGAAAGGCACTGTTTGAAAGCAGCAATATATTCACAGTTGTTGACCTTTCTTCGAACTTAAATATGTCCTAGAAATGTACGTTGATGTTATTTGTATTCATATACAAATGAATGATTAATACATGTTTTAGTATTGGAAAAAATACAGATAGAAAAAGTAAAGATGATGATATAATGAACATTGATCGGTTAATGTCAAACAATTCTACATGCTTTTAAACGTGTTTCTTATGTTGCATATTGCTAGAGGTAAAATGGATACGTATTTTTGTCGTAAGGTATTATCACGGCTTTAATTAAAGTCGCGGGATTATTTACTATTTTTTAAGACTTACCTATCCATCCCATCGAGATGTACATGCAATTTATCCACCAGGCCTACCGGACTTTGTGACTATATTACTGCACATTTCAAACCGTGAATTATTCTACATCACCATTTAAGATTGATATTTATATCCTAAATTAAAACCATTAAATGAGTAAAAAGATATTTGTAAATTTTCACTATCACAATACCTAAATAAACAATAAAACCGGGTTTTCAATGACAAGCACATGGATTCTTAAGATTAAAAACATAAAACAAAAGCAATGAAGAAACAAAGAGATAATTTACTATAAAAATGTACAATATCACAAGATCTAAATATACAATCCTTCAAAATATCACATTGATTTATCCTAAAATATTATATAATATACAGAAACAAATTGTTTTATTGAAACTAATCATGACATACAGACAATAGCATAAAGCCCCAAAAAATGTTGTCGTTTTTTTGTAACAAAATATATTATATCTTTCATGAAAGTAATTGGCCATAAAAATTTCCTCGATAAAGTTCTGGCAAAGGAAACTATTTGTCAACCGTCCATTATCTAGCTGATAAATTTCTTACAGTTTTGATATAAAAACAACTTTCGTTTCAACCATATAGAATATAAAAGTATATAGGTCTAAATCGCAACAAATTTCTATCGATATGTAGATCTATATACTAGTATATGGTTATTTAACATTCTTTGACATTTTTATAGCATTTGAATCTACTGGTACAATTAACTGGTATATTTTCCATATCCTTTCTTCTTTTCTTGAAATAAAATTAAGAAAAAATAAATGCAAATACAAACCAAGAAAACAAGAAGCAAAAGAAGGATTAAAGAAGCGGACTACTTTCAATGAATTATATCTTTGTAAAAGTGAACGTAAGCAGGATGTTCTATAGCAAAAGATGTATTGTGAAACAAACGCTCTATTATAAATGCTTAATGGTTTATGTTATTTTAATAAATGTCATATCAATCTATCATATCAGTGTCGAATTGCATAAAGAAAAATAATTGTTAACTGTAACCAGGATGTTTATATAAAATGTAAGCAAGAGTTACGAACAAAGGTTATTCGCTTTACAGTTGAAACATGGACTAAGTAGACTTCTATGTTAAATCAAGGAAACGAGATAATCGTATTCAGAAACAATATTTAATCTCAATTTCGACTCATAAAGAATAACATGCTTGTACTGTCTTTTGAATTTTACCAGGTGAGGCTGATAAGGGCTATACAGGGCGAGGCTTGCTTTCTATTTATTATGTAATACATGAATTCTGTCAGAATAATCAAGACCTACTTTTCTATAACGAATTTTGTAGAAAGAGGCATTTTTGTTCAAAGACATTTTTCTTGAAAACAAATCCCTCCGCCCTTTAAATTTAGAATTTGTAAATGGTGGCCATCTTTTTTCTTTTGTCCCCACATAATTAAATAAAATGAAATTCTTACCTTTAAAAATTGATCCAAAAATATACCTATGAATCACATAAACTTAACTGCACTTTTTTTTTCGTTAAATATCAAATTTTAAAGTTCACCATAATTTCTGTTTCAATAAAAATGTCAAATAGGCAATCAAATACAAGACAAGTATGTGTCTTATTTTCTGAACGAAACTATATTCTCACTCATTTACGCAATAATAATCTGGTGAAACAAAGTAAACAAACATTTTGAGTGAGGGATGTTGCACATATTCATTATACCTTATGTACAGACTCAATCAAACCGAGTCTGCAATTCTTATGTAATTTTGTTGTGATTAATGCTTCTAAGGGATCACTTAGTTTTCAGATTATTTACATGTTCTCCAAGAAAACACTCTAGATAGCATGTTGGTTATGTTATTAATTATAAATTAAGGCGTAGACATTAATGATGTCATTTGCGAAATAAATTATGACGTCACTTTATCAAATTGGTGCGTAACTATTTGATATCTTATTTGTTCTTAATTGAAAACAAATAGAAATAATAAATGACATATTGATCCGAGACTTGCAAGGGTATAAGATAAAATTGTAGAAATTCAAAGGCTCATACAAATGAGAATATAAGCTGTTGAAATGGGCGGGGCTTTTTGAACTAACCTGATATCAAAACTAATTATCAGGCAAGTGTTCTGCATCAGTATAAGATTTGGATTTTATATCTGTTTTCGTTTATAGTTTACAATATTACTTGTTCCTTGTCATTTAGAGTATTTATATTCAGGAGAGCAATATTAATTAATGGGACCTCATTGGCCTCTTGTAAATGTGTACGTACATGTTATAAAAAGTTTCAATAGCTGTCTAAATGTCATGATCTCTAACAAGAGAGATAAATCTTATACAATGATTGCAAGAGTGATGTTTGCTTTACAGGGTTATTTATGAAATGTTCTGAGTACTTTTAAAGATCCTGTAACATAATTTTTTCATGGTTTTATTTCATAAATATGATGCTCAAATTAAGATTTATCAATAGTGTAAGTTCCAATAAGCATTATTTATAAAGATATTACCGAATTAAACATTTAATGTAAATAAAGGGAGGTAATTAGAAATTTATTTTCTATAAATTGTAAGTCAAATTTCCAATAAGAAATGAATGCATATGGAACACATTTTACATATTATTCGATGTTTGAAAATTGTTTTATTTGCATAATTATATACATCTTTACTTTTTTTGCAAGTGTGGTACACACACAGTAACAATATCAATAACAAAACAAACAGGATCTTTAAAGGACATTACGATTCACACCATGTATATAATGGTGATTTTGAATCATATTTTTTGTTTTCAGAAATAGTTAATTTGTAATTGAAAGATATATATGGTTCTGTATTTCAAAGATTTTATACAACTTTGTAATACAGTTAATACTAAAAGTTGTTTCAAGTAAGAATATTTTTATTTTGAATCAGTAATTACACTATGGACTTTGTATCTGAAAATGAGACACATTTGCATATTGCCCTGAAATATAACCTTGACTCCAAAAGTCACTAGACACTTCTGCATTATGGCAAAGTTCAATTTTATAAAAACACAAAAATATCTACTTCGATTCCAACTATTGAATGTTGTATTTATTGTATTTATGCGATGCTATCTTTTCCTATTTTCAAAAAAAGTAACTTTTTTCAGAATATTCAAATAAAATGAAATTAAGTGATACAAAATGTTTATTCTAACAATGGACTGCTCTTCAAATTTTAACCAGAATCTACATTCTAATACACTTAAATTACCGTTTTATATTTGATAATTATGGAACTAATTACCAAACATACCATACTGTCCACCCAATTAAAGCAATAGTATTGACACATCAGTTTGCATTCAGAAATGCTTGAAGTATAATTTGGTTTAATTGACCTGTCAATTATGAAAACATTATAGCGTTCATTGTAATATTCGACCACACTTCATTGTATATAACTAATGTTTTGAAGGTCAACCAGCTTAATGTCGTCGTTACAACCGCAATAGCCAAATGTGAGAGGTATGTGCTTCCATCCATACTGTTGTCATTGTTTTTAAACCTACTCTTTTTATATTTTTGCCCTATTTCGGGTGCTTGCATAAATGCCTACACAGATATGAAGCAACTTATAAATGCTGTTTTGTTACGACTTGTACTGTGTTTTACGGCATTAAAATGACATTTACTGAGTTTAATCCGACTCAATTTTAACGTTCAATTTTTAAACCATGTTATTAAAAAATTATAGGCTTTACCAAAATAAGCGCATTACATAATAAACAAAACGAACAACATAAAAACGATCAAAGTTTTAATAATGTTGAAAATTCAAAATATAAATAAAAAAACATCGACCTACGCAGTCTTGATCTTACTACACGTAGGGCACTTAGAAATTATAAACCCGTAGTTTACCCTACTGAACTCAGTAATTACAGATGCAAATTAAATAAATCACATCTTACTGCATACATCTCATGGAACTTAAAAAAATCTATTGTGGATTAATGTATTGTGTGCATTGACCTTGTAATCGGTATGCTATTGACACGTTAATAGAATCAAACAATACAAGTTTCCCACCCAAATGCACTTGGACAAGATATTTTTGTGTATTGAAAGTTTATTTGGAACATGCATAGTAAACATTTACACATGATTGAC